CCATATTATATACACAATATATATGTTTCATAAGATATTAACATGATATTTTAAAAGGAAATTATCACACTCATATCATATAAAAGTATTAAGTATATATACCTTCACTTGTCATATTTACTAACTTAATAAATATCGGAAGTGATATAATACCAAAAAACAAAAGAGTTAATTATTTCATATTTTTTTTTATTAAATTGTCTTGCTTCTTAACTTTTTTCTAACTTTAGTTTCATTTTAATAAACCCACTAACCACTTCTGCAATATTGATACTAATATCGTTAGTAATATTTATTAGAGCTAACCGTGTTGATCTCTTATTTGTTTGCGTTATTCTTAAACAAGACTCCATGTACTTCAGGTGATGCAGAACACAGCAGAATAATTCGTTACGTATACGTACATATATTTTAGATATACGTGATGGGCCCGGATCTCTTTGGGCCTTTACATAGATTCGCCATTGCTGTTAGTTATGCTAAACATATATTATGAAAACGAAAACCGTTAAAATTGACTCTACTTAAGTAACTAAAAGCTTGTGGCTTACATATTTCACATCGAGAAATTAAAATATGAACGTCAAAGTGTTAGATTAAAATTATGGCAATTAATTTTGGAATCAGAAGAAATTAACTTTCAACTTTTTTAACTTTCAACTTTTCTGACTCGTGTCTTTTTGCCTCCACATCTCTTCACTTAAAAAACAGTCATTTAAAACTATTAATTTTAATGCATAACATACAATAAACGTAGTTATTTCAGGATTTACGCAAATGTAATTGTTTAATTTAGTAGCCTATGAGCTACATTTAGTGAACCCGATGTGATCCTGAAATTACGTTTGGTCTTGTTAAATAATAGCTCAAATTATACAAATTTTGTAAAACATCATAGCAGTGATAAAGAAACAGTGATAAATTTTGCTTTGTTTGACAATATTAATTGTCGGTATTTAGTAATGCTTTTAATTATTCAGTAACTGACAAATGAACGCCTTATTAACGTTGCTATTTGTTCGTTAAACAAGGAATTGCACCAATATCATTTTTATTATATTATCACAAAATAGTCACAGTAATGCAGAGTCACTAATCGTCTCCCCCCGTGTGGTCTAAAGTACACCTACGGCAGGATATGGAGCATCAATCACGTCTCAGTCATTATATAAGTCTGTAAACAAACACAGTTTTGCGCGGCAATGTCGCGATGAGCCTTGACCCTAATTAGCATTCAAAGCAATATGTTTCGGCATGGTTTTACGCTTATCAACAAGTCACTATGATAGAGCATTCTAGTCACAAACACATTTTTACACTTTTAGATTTCGCATTAGACACTGGCACAGCATTGCACATATAATTCAATATTGCTTAGATTTCAAGAACCAGAGCTTTAAAAATGGCAATTTTTGCATGAAAATCACCAAGAACTACTTATTGTTAATTATTGTTGATAGTCTAGTTATTATAAAATGTAGACAAGTCAATTGACGCTAGATAGAGTGTGTAATTTTGTTAGTATAATTAATGTAAAAAAATCAGAACTTTAAACTTCGATATCTTAAGTAGTAATTTACATCGGCATATAACGTTGTGGAAGTAGTTGCTCCACTATTATTGTCCACCTGTTGTCCAATGGGCTTGCCGAGAATATTAGAATCGAACCACAAAAAAGACTGGAATACATCTTAAAAGTCATTTGACTACTTAAATAGAATTACTTACTTACTGCTGTCCTTCTCTCCTAAGTGCAGAATAGGACACTCTTTCAAATGGAATTAATCATTTTAAATGTCCAACCAGTGAAATCAAATTGTGGGTTTGCTTCTGCACGTGAAAATCTTAAAGCTCTTAGTAATTCTTCATTAAATGCATTAAAAAAAAATTTAGTAGTGTACAAATAGATATTACAGTGATCCCAGTGAAATAAGTCAGCAATGATTAAATGTTTGCTTTTTTTTTTGAATAAATGGGAATAATTTTTTACGTTCAGTTTGCAAGGATACCCATCTCCACATACTCATTCGCCAAAAATTCTGTGTAAATCAAGAGAAAATAAAATTATATTAAAAGTAAATTTACAAAAAAGTAGCGGTCTTATTGTATTATTTCGACCAAACAAATATTTTCAATAACAAACAATTTCTCAATAATCACTAAAATAATTATGATTTTATTGGTACAATAAACAAAAATATTAGTATTAGTATTAGCATTATACTACATTTTTTTATTGTATTTTCATTATCATAATTATTTTGATTATTTTAATTATTATAATTATTATTACGTTGATTGCATTTTACTGCGAAAGGTTAAATAATGTTAAATATAAAATTTGTGCAACAATGCTTGATAGTCAATACTTTGGTGGTTTCTTTTTGGGGTTTTGTATTTAAGCAAATTTTTGTTTAGACAAATTTTAAAGCACTCATTTGGAACAATTTTTATTTAAATGCATAGTAAAGTATCTTAAGTACCGGCACAGTTTATAGTTGGTAATGAACTACTTCTTTCTCCTCGAGTTGCTTGTATGATATTTCTAGCAATTCTACATTTATTTAAAAAAAAGTTATTCGAAAATATGTAGAAATTTTAAAATTTATAATAAAGATAATATTAAAAAAAAATAATGAAAAATAAATATTATATTTATCTACAATGCTAATAAAATAAATATTAATAAGTTCGAATTCTAATATTTTCTATGGCTATTGCAGAATAAGTTTATCAATATGGATGTTAAAGGTTTGTTTTAAGTCTTCGAATAGACGATGAATATGGAATCCATTCACCTTTTAACAATTTATGGGCTAACCGCGAAAACTGTGAGGTTGCTTGAACCTTATGGCCTAAATTGGACAAAAATAAAACGAAAATCCTTTTATGTTTCAGCAAACCTGCGGTTTGTATACTTCTGGAGCATTAACAACGTACTGTGCCATTGCGCCTATGCTCTAATGGTGGCGAGTTCTAACAAGTGGATTATGCAAGAGTTGCCAAGATGGAGAGGATGTAGCATCCATCCCACACTTCATGTGTCTCTGTCTTGAACCAAATGGCTTAACAAGGATAGGCAGAATCTTTACCACATCGCAATGGGCAATATATGTCTCCGAGTGGAAGTGCTGATAATTGTCAGCACGCGCTTTATCAACCATAACTTATTCAGCTAGTATAAATATCTTTTCATAAAGGATTATTTGTTTTAGTCACATATGTCAAATATAACTATTATCCATGTCATATTATATGACAAACAGAACTGTCATTTAAAACATCATGTGTTTCGTTTAGAGGTTTGCCGTTTTATAAAATGGACAAAAAATTAACTAAATGGAAATTATAAAAACTAACTGATTTCATTAAGAATCAATAGGTTTTTGAATGTCTAAAATTTCATAATTAAGTTTGTTTTTTTTTTGATATCATCTGTTTTCGTATTATTTTTTAAATTAAAAATTTTTCAGCTATCAGACAAACCACAATAAAACGCTTTTATTTAGAAATTTGAAGCAGATATCTCGTCATTTATTTTAGAACATCCTCAGTGCTTAATTTTTAATAAAAAGCTTAACTTAACTTAATAAAAAGCTTAATATCAATTTTTCATTTTCCTATTTTTGTTTCTAAGTTTTAATATTGTCTGATCACTTAACATATGTGATGTTAAAAATAAAAATAATTATTGTTCATTTTATTTTTGAGTTCAATAGTGTCATTTTTATATATATGTTAATTTGTCGTATATATTGTTTTAATTTTAAAGTCATAAACCTTAAGTTAAGCTTTTTATTAAAAATAAAGCACTGAGGATGTTCTAAAATAAATGACGAGATATCTGCTTCAAATTTCTAAATAAAAGCGTTTTATTGTGGTTTGTCTGATAGCTGAAAAATTTTTAATTTAAAAAATAAAATTTCATAAGCACGAGATTTGTTTCCTCCTTATACTACATTTTCCTTTAACTTTGCACCATTAAATTGGTTGTAGCGGTTGAAATTTTTGATTCTTTAGAATAAAGTTGATATAAAGTTGCATCTACTGATTATTCTTTAATTTAGATCATCATATGGTATTTTCAGGATTCTTTTATATGTCTACGTTTCAAAGTTTGCAGTTTACTATTATCTAAAATTCTTATCACCTAATTATTAATTGAATGTTAAAATCCTGCAAAGAATATGTAATAATAGTTTAAAATTATTATGTTATATTTATACGAATTAATTCATTGTTCTGGACTTGCCTTTTTTCGACTATGTTAAATTTCTCCTATACTATTTTTTAACAGTTTTTGCTGTTATAGCATTTTGACAACATATTTAAACGATCACTCATTCCACATGAGTGCGTTTCTTCCTATATATAAATTATTCTATCAGTTGTTAAAAAGCAATTTTGCTACTTTCATTTGTATGCAACATATTAACCATTCAATTTTTTTGTACTTTACTATTAACATGATTACTTATTCTCACTGATTTTTTAAAAGTATTTCATTTGGTTTAAACAATTGCTTGTTAATGCAGTCATTCAAAAGTGAAAAAAAGATTAATACAAATGAAAAATATTATAAATTATTAAATAATAACTAGAAATACAATAATGTAAATAATTTCTGATAAGCATATTGTAAGTGTTTTAATATTTAACTATTGAAAGTAAAGTGGTTTTGTTTGTATAAACAAAAGACTTAAGCAACAAACGTTGAACTTTTCTATTTGCCGTCGATGAATATCGCATGCTGCACATAAAAGCAAAAACTTTTACTTTTCAAAATGTGCTTTTAACACCAAAAACAATTGCATATAACACAAAAGAATATAATTCTTGTAATCAAGCAAAAAAAAAAAACTACATTTGGCCACTAAATGTCAATCACTTGCATGTTTGTTTATGGTTGACATAAAAACTTTAGATGAAAAAAAAATTAAAAACGAAACACTCATCAAAAACGTAATTTCAATACTTTATTATCTTTATCTTGCAGTGATGGTAAAGAGCAGTAGCTACTAGTAACAAGCAAACACTAAGGAAAAAACCTACAAACCAGTGGCACATATACAAATCGCAGCGGCGCGATCAATCTTAACTTGGTCAGACATAAAGTTTAAGTTTACGCGCAACAACAACAACAGCAACAACAGCAACAATCTACAATAACAACAGCTACAACGATAGATACAATGTCTGCTACTTCAAACTGTGATTGCTTAGTGAGTGTACCAACCGGACCAACGCTGGCTGCAACATGTGGTGGTAGCGCTTTTATGTTATTTATGGGCTTATTAGAGGTTTTCATACGTTCACAATGTGATTTAGAAGACCCATGTGGCAGAGCGAGTTCAAGGGTAAGTATTTTATCTTATTTTATTTATGTATTAAGGATAATAAAGTCCTTTTTTAATTCGCTTTTATGTTGTATTGTAATTTTTACTTTTTGCTTTATAGTTTCGTTCAGAACCAGATTATGAATATGACTTCATTGTGGTTGGTGGTGGTTCAGCTGGTTCTGTGGTTGCATCACGTCTGTCTGAAGTGCCAAATTGGAAAGTCCTACTCATTGAAGCAGGTAGGTGAATGTTATTACAAATAATATGTATTTTAATATATATAGTTTTATATTTATAACAAATAGTTAGTTAATCTGAATATGAATATGTATGAGTGTCATGGGCTCGTCATGAACAAAATTGTTGTTTTCAATGCAAATTATAAAATTGAGAGAGAGAAAAAACAATATGTCGGTTCATGAGAGCCGGTCGTGAGGCTATCATTGCCTAGTCACTTGGGTATAGCAGTTCTATTGAGTAATAAATATTAACATTTGTGTCTTTTAAAAGTAAATTATTACAATTTCTGTGACACTCTGCATAACACACATTTTCGTCAAAGCCAAAAATATACAATTTTGACAAGCCCATGACACTCTACATAACATGGCGCTTATTTATTTTATAGTTCAGTAAAACAAATTTAGAAAGCAAAGAGATATCTCTTAAAAATATCTTAAATAAGAATAATGAGAACGATGTGAATAAATTTTTATTAAGTATTTATACAAAAGTTTTCTTACAGAAAATTATTACTGCGTTTTTAGTGCTGTTAGCTGGCTGTTCGTTTCTTGTTGTTGTTTTGTTCACAGTTAGTTGGCATTTCAGCTGGTGTCTTTTTAAATAAATATATTTGAGATATATAATTGAGCTTTTACTGCATGTATGTAGGGTGTTTCTTTATAATTAATATAAAAATTAATTTAGTATTATAAATATTGTTTTTAACTGTATTATATCAAAAATATACACAAGCAAATATGCCTATTTTGTAAAAAGGACGTTTTTAGTATCTGACTTAATTACTTTAATTAATGATGTTGAGGATTCTTAATTAAATATCAATAAAATTGCTGTTAAGTTCGTTTTTCATAACATGAGTAGCCCGCTTTAGCTATAATCTCTATTAACTGACATAACCTAAATTATTCTAAAATTAAATTAAGTTATGAGAAATTTTTTTATACAGAATTTTATGGCATTTTTAAATGTCATTGCAGAAAAACATATAAATATATATTTTATAAAGACTCTCTATAAATTTCCAATATAATAGTCTTCGTTATATAGTTTATAGTTAGTTAGTGGGAAAACTTGTAAAATTTAACAAATGAGTAATGCTTTAATATAATTTTTTTAAGAGTTAACCTTGTAGTGAACACATCTCGAAATATTAAAGAATTAAAGAATATCAGTTAGTAACCTTTAGAAGATGTCTTTCGGCTTGTAAATAAACTTGAATTAAAGTAATTTTATTATTTTTGCCTTAGGTATAAAGAAAAAGTTAGGAGAAAATGAAAAAATAAACAATCGAAGATGAAAGAAAAAGGAAGCAAATACTTAATACATCACGTATAGCCAACTGTTGTGCTTATGTAGTGTAATGATTGCACTCTATATCTCTCCAATATTAATACTGCATTTCATGTAACCTATTAAATGTTTCTTTACATATAATCTTGATATATTTTCATTTGTTGTTGAAAAACTCAGGTCTCCATATATAATATATTATTCATATACCATGCCGAGTTAGTTAAGTTCCTTAAAGTTTGGAATTGTACACGTTGCAGTATCAGATATGCGAACGAAATTATGGGTTGCCAGAACAGTAAACTATAACTTGGTATCATCAACATATTAAATGTGTTATGGTTGTTTTGTGAAAAAACTACAATTATTTGTGATATCAGCACCTCAAATGGATTATATATTTGTTTAGTGAAAAAAAAACTTTTTCAGGTTTCAATTTGAGTTGCGACCTTCGCCCTATTAATGATTGCCATTCTGTGCTTTTCACGTTTATTCGATTTTTTTCATGAAGATGTGTTTCCCCTGTTAGACTTCCAACACAATTAGTACCAAGGTAATTTGCCTCATATAATAGTCTTTTTGTTAATTGTTGTTAATTGTTACACTTGAGTAGTTGCCTTTTCTGAAGGTGAATACTTATGTAATTAATTTTAATATGCTATTTGAACAGTCATTCTTCAATATATTTGAGGTAATTTGCAAATGTTGCACATTGAGGATTTTTTTAAAAAGCTTTTATTCGGTTGTTGTCATTTTTCTTTGAAGATAATGGGAACATAATTTGTATATAAATTATATCACAGAAACTTCCTAATATCCTTAGCGTTCTGTTTAATGCATAATGCCTTTAATCACAAAATAAAGTGATGATGCTAGTTTTTGGAGTTTTGCTAATGAGTCATCTATGGTAACATTCAGTGGATTAGTAATACCTATAAGTAATATCAGTAAGATAAGCTGCTAAAAAGTATTAGTCGATGTTTAGTGCTTTTCCTGGTATTTACACAATCGCAACAGAGTGTAAAGCAGCCCCTATTGATTTTAGGTAATTTTGGAGATGCTCAATCATCCATTGTAATTATATCGAAAAGTTACTATCAAGTCTAGGAAACTTACATAGTCTAAAACTTTTATGGTTTTATTTATACTATTGAAAGTGATCGGATTCATTATCTAATCTGCTTGCAGCTTTATTTTCAAATTTATTGTTAGTTAGTTCATTACGTGTCCATTAATGTAACGTTAAATGTAGTCTATTTAATTATTGTTGGTAGCAAACAGAAAAAACGACATTTCACAAAATTAATTGCAATATTCGACTTGCATTATTTTATATTTGAAAGTGATGTGACTATTTAATTAGTTCATATAACTATTATGAGTAACTGAGTGATGCTTCAAATAATGAAGTGACAGATTAACAGGATTATTTGCATGCACTATTTAAATCTAATTAAAACTCTGAGTTTAAAATAAAAGTAATCAAATTTCAGACTTTCTATTAAAAACTATAATAATACTCACTATCTTAAAACATTGTTTCCTTAGACTGAAGAGCATTCTGTTATTACGACATCTGAAGTTTACAATTCTTTAACTAATTAAATAGTTAAGCCTAAACTACGAATATGTCGAATAGAAAAGTACTGATAATTTATCTTAAGTAATGAAATTTAATTATACGGGCTTTACATATTTGTATAGTGTATACATTTAGCTGCATCAGCATTGGTCACCCATATGTCGTTATTTATATTATGGACTCATAATATAGAGAACAGCTTGTTTATACTAATATCTGTAAGAATCAATTGCTTATTCTAATATGGGAATCAAAGTTTTTTTCAAAAGCATTAGTCACAAAAGATCCTGATAGCCAAAAAAATATCATTTTGATAAACAATGAAATAAGATGCTTTGTTTATTAAGATTTTCTACTTCCATAAATTTAGTTTTTAAATATAATTTGATATAACTTTAATTTTTTCGTTTTTAAATATTGATACTATTGCTACAGAGGCCTAACGACAGGTGTATCTGTTTCTTTGACAATATTGGCATTACTTCACCAAAGTTGGCTGTGTTAGCACGATTACTGCTTTTGTAGAATTGTTTTTGTATTCATCTTTTCTATATGTTTCGCCCGTTTTTAGTGCTGTTTGTAACCAACTTTTAACTTTTGCATATTTTACTGTGTATCTAATTATAGCATCAATTAATGTCTTTATTGTGTCTTCATAAGCTTCAACTGGTTTTTTAGAACGTGGCGAATCTTAAACACCAAATATATCAAGTCTAAATTTTACACAGTAGTTTTGCTTTATATATATCGGATTAAAAGATACATCGGATCCTATATGATTATATAATTTTTCCTATTCCATAGTGAGGACGTATAAATAATATGTCGAAAATGCTTATTTTTATACTCCATTTTTGACAGGGCACCAATTTACCGAGCTTTTTTTAAAGCAAGTTCTATTATATCAGCTGTCAAATTTTTCTTCAACTAATGAATTATCTCCAACCTTCAAGAGACGTTTACCGAAAATATACCCGTATATATAAATTAAGCACTCCAATCTATAATTGGGACTCTCATTGATTTTGAAGTCTTCTAATTTGTTTAATTGTTTATAAACAATTTTACAAATTTTTCCTACTATGGCCAGCAATATTTAGTTTATTTGGAAGAATAATAAATAAATAGGCATTAAACTTGATGTCACTTTGGCGAAAAATTTGTGATTTTTGGTGTGAAACTTTCACCAAATTGGATTATTATTGTATAATTCAGACACTCAATACTAAGTTATTAGTGTTAATAAGTTGATTGGTTCTTCTAAAATTGGATTGGTTATTGTAAACTTAATTTTGTATCATTTACTCGTATGAGGTATTACCTATCAGTGGTATAGACTTGTGCCAATAAGTGGTATACTAGCAAATACTTTTTTGACAGTGTTTTTACAGTTTAATAAATTCTGTATTAAAGATAAAAATGTATCGGTCATTTCGATCATCTGAAGAATTTTTGGAATATAACTGTCCATGTTATGAACACAATACTTAAAGGGAAAATATTTTTAAATATCAGTTAAAAACTTAATGAACTTATGGTTCCAAATCTTATTCTTTATTGTTTTTAATTAAGTTCCACAATTGTCAACTTTAATTGTATTTGAACTTGACATCATTTTCAATATCTGTTTTAATTGCTGTAGTAAATGATTTTGAGGTGTTTTTCAAATCGCCATTCAATTGGTCTAATGAGAAACAGTAATATTCGTGGATTATTTCACTTTTAAAAGGTAATAATTGATTACAGTATATAAATTTCTAATGCGAAGTAACTAATACTCCCTTCTAAACAACAGTTCTGTATCGTTTACCATTTCCACTTGCATTAATTTTCGTTACTATATTTCAGTAATTTAGTCTTTCATTTTTATTCAACCTTCAGTCTCTCAATCGTGTTTGTTGTCTTTTTATCGAAAGTTGTTTTTATTTTGAATCTATTTTATTATAAAATGACGAAAGACAATCCATAACTTCGGCAACTATAACATATGTGCATTTTTTGTGTGTTTAAGCACTTATTTGCATTCAACTTTTTTATGTTTAAAGCCTATTTCGAAAACTTCTGGCCAATTTTAACGTCAGTACCTTGACATCCTTAAAGCAATTTTTTTTCTAGCTGGAAAAATATATGTC